GAGGCAGAGGCAGGAGGATGGCTTAAGCCCAGGAGTTGAAGACCAGTCTGGGCAACAAAGAGAGACCCTGTCTCTACAAGGAGTTAAAGAGAAAACTTTCATGGTGGCACGTGCCTGTGGTCCAAGCAGCTGCTGGGACTCTCCCAGTCCTGAGAGGGAAGAATGGCTTGAGCCCATAAGGTCAAGGCTGCAGTGAGCCTTGTTTGTGTCCCCACACTCCAGCCTGGGCAATAGAGTGAGATTATGTCTCCAAAACAGAAACAAAGACAAAAGAAGAGAAGAAAATTACTTTTGAGATTTGCTTTTCCTGTCTTTTGTAAAATCAAAATCTTGGGGGCCCAAAATTACTGAACTAACAGGATAAGTCAAGCTGGGAACTGCCCAAGGAAAATCTGCCTCCCATTCTGTTCAAAGCCGTCACGTCGCACACTGAAAGAGAGGCACATCAGATTGACTCCTTTGGAAAACCCTATCAGAAACTCAAAAGAATGCAACTATTTGTCTCTTACCTACCTGAGACCTGGAAGCCCCATCCCTGTTTCAAGCTGGAGCTGTCCCCACTATTCTGGAAGGAACCAATGTACTTCTTACATATGTTGATTGATATCTCATGACTCCCAAAAATGTATAAAACCAAGCTGTGCCCCCACCACTTTGGGTACATGTCATCAGGACTTCCTGAGGCTGTCGCAGGTGTGCATCCTCAACCTTGGCAAAATAAACTCTCTAAATCATTTCAGATATTTGTGCTTCACACTTTACATTATAAAGATAAACCTTTTTAGAACAGTTTTTGGTGTACAGAATTATTAGATAGATAATACAGAGAGTTGCTGCACCTCTTATCAGTTTTAACTATTTTTTATATATATTTTTTATTGCATTTTAGGTTTGGGGGTACATGTGAAGAACATGCAAGATAGTTGCATAGGTAGACAGGTGGCAGTGTGAGTTGCTGCCTTCCTCCCCTTCACCTATATCTGGCATTTCTCCCCATGCTATCTCTTCCTAACTTCCCACCCCCCGCTGTCCCTCCCCTATTCCCCCCAAGAGACCCCAGTGTGTAGTGCTCCCCTCCCTGTGTCCATGTGTTCTCATTGTTCAATACCCACCTATGAGTGAGAACATGCGGTATTTCATTTTCTGTTCTTGTGTCAGTTTGCTGAGAATGATGTTCTCCAGGTTCATCCATGTCCCTACAAAGGACACGAACTCATCGTTTTTGATTGCTGCATAATATTCCATGGTGTACATATGCCACATTTTCCCTGTCCAGTCTATCATCGATGGGCATTTGGGTTGATTCCAGGTCTTTGCTATTGTAAACAGTGCTGCAATTAACATTCATGTGCATGTGTCCTTATAGTAGAACGATTTATAGTCCTTTGGATATATACCCAGTAATGGGATTGCTGGGTCAAATGGAATTTCTATTTATAGTTTTAACTATTACTAGTGCTTTATGTTAGTATGGGGCACTGGTCGCAGATAACAGGCCAACACTGATATATTATTAGTAACTAAATCTGTACTATGTGCAGCTTTGCACAGGTTTTCCCTGTCATTTTCTCTTCCGTAATCGCATCCAGGATCCACCTTACATTTAGTCACTGTGTCTCCTTGGGCTTTTCTTGGTTGTGACCCTTTCTCACAACCAAGCTTTCCCTGTGTTTAAAGACCATAATCGTTTGTCACGAATACCCCTCAGATATTTTGCAGATTATCCCTCAGTTAATATTTGTGTGATATTTTCCTCAAAATTAGATTGGGCTAATGTGTTTTTAGGAGGAAGACCATGGAGGTAAAATCCAAAGTTCATCACATCCTGTCACAGGTACATCCTATAATATGCTTTATTGCTGTTGTTGACCTTGGTCACCTGGCTGGAGATAGGGTTTTTCAGGTTGCTCCACTGTAGGGTTATTGTTATTCTTTTCCTATCTATATTGAACTATTTGAGAGAAAATCACTAAACGCAGCCCACACTTAAAAAGTGGGAAGTTGTTCTATACCTCCTTAAGGATGGAGAAGCCACATAAATTATTTTAAATGCTTCTGTATACATATTTGTGTATTTTCATCAATTCATTTATTTATTTAACATTTATTTTTATCTATATGGACTTAAAGGTATTTTTTGTCCATTTTAGATAATGACCCAATACTGCCTTATTTATTTTGCTGCTCAAATTGTTCTGGTTTTGGCTACTAATAGCTTATCTTTTTGACATGCTTCCATCATTGTGTGTGTGTGTGTGTGTGTGTGTGTGTGTGTGTGTGTGTGTGAGAGAGAGAGAGAGTACTTTCTCGCTTTTTGGCACTACTAGATGCTCCAGCTTATCTTGTACATTTCCTCCCTCAGTCCTAGGGAGTCCAATCATTTATCCAGAAACCCTGGTTCTTTCATTGGAGAATGATTTTAGAAACCAAGACTGGGGTGGTAGGTGTGTTAATTGCTACTGAGTGTCATTGCTTCTAAGTCTTCTCAGCTGCCAGAGTAGAGAAATATATGTGTCTATGTCTATAATAACATATATATATGTGCAAATATGTATATGTGTGTGTGTGTGTATATATATATATATATATATATATATATATATATATTAATATGAGCCAAGCATGGTTGCTCACACCTGTAATCTCAGCTACTTGGGAGGCTGAGGTGGGAGGATCACTTAGGTCCTGGAGGTTGAAGCTAAAGTGAGTCATTATCTCACAACTACACTCCAGCCTAGGCAACAAAGTGAGTCTTTGTCTCAGAAAAAAAAGGAAATAAATTAATAAACAGAAATATATATCAACATTTCTATGTGTAGCCATCTGTATATATAGTAAAGTAAACATGAGTTCATACTGATGTCTTCAACTTTAATACATTATGCATGGAGTATTCTAGCCTCTTTCCCTAGCTTATCGGTAAATTGGCACACCAGCAGTGAGAAACCTGGCTCCCATCATCCATTTACTTTACTGTTCATTTCCAGAGTACATATATAGTGGTTTCAGAATTGTTAACCTGTATGCCCATGGAAAGCAAGTTTATCAACTAGAGTACAATGCATATGCATAGCTCCTTTAGCTTGTGATCTTACAAACTCCACTCATTTTCAAAGTTAGTTAGGTCAGCACCTTATTTCCTCCCCCTTCAGTGAGGTGGTTTCATACATCTATAGCACATTTATATTCCTTTTCATATATTGCCTTTCATTTTGGGATTCCCCAACTTCCTAATTGCTTTTTTTCATTTACATACATTAAAGTTTATGCTGTGGTATAAAATTCTATGGGTTTTGACAAAGGCTTAATGTCTTGCATTTGCCATGATAATATCACACAGAATAGTTTTACTGCCCTAAAATATTCCCTGTGCTTCAAACAAGCAACCCACCTTCCACTTCCAAACTTCTGAAAATTGTGCTTTTTTGAAACTCTAGACTGGGACTAAATGTCTCCAGAATTTGACATCAAAATGAAAGGCATGGGAGATAGAATATTTCTCTCATAAAGGAACTGTTTTAAACAAAGTGGACATTTAATGAATGGTGGTGTCATGTTTCGTAAATATCCAAGGGTTGTGGAACTTTATTTTTACCTTGTTAGTATTTGTCTGAATAAAAATAAAGCACAGTATCTCATGTTGGAGAAAAATATAATTGAAAGAGGTAGAGATGTTGAATGAATTTGAGAGATAAAGGGTGAACTGACAGGTCACATTGATTTTATGTTTCTAATTTTCAAAATACGATTGAAAACATTTTCTTGGGTCATAGCTCAATAAATTTAAAGTTGTTACTTATTTTGTTTTAGATAAGAACCATCTTTCCTTTCCCCTCTCCTTCCTTTTTACCCTTCATCCTCTCCTTTCTTCTCTTCTTTACTTCCTCCTACATAAATGTTTACCCAATAAGTCCCTATTTTGTGCCAGGCATATAATAGATGCTAGGAATGCATAGGTGAAAAAATTTATCCATGACCTCGAGGACCTTTCTTGTTACTTTTGAGGAAGGAAGAGATGAAAGTCTAATCATCACATGGTAATTATTCTATTGGTGTAATAGGCACATAAAGGAATAGAGGAGTAACTCTGCCTTGGAGGATCAGGGAAGACTTCCAGTAGAAGTGAAGTGACCCCAGAGCCTTGGAGTAGTGGTAATGTTTGGGACAGATAAAGAAATGCAATGTAGAGCTACCAGTTAATTATAGCTGGAGTGGTCCAGGAGGGATTGAGAGACTGGTGTGATAGAACGCATTAGACAAGTGTGGATCATGAAGGGCTTTGAGCTTAAATCTTACCTAGGGAATCATGAATAGAGCCACTGAAAAATTACAAGCAAGGTAGTAATTACATCATATGGCATCTTAAAAAGCATGCTCTGGCAGGTGACTGGTGGGAGAACTAGACAAGATATGAAACATGATCCTGGAAAGCTTCCCAGATGGCTATTACTACAGTCAGGGCGGGAGATAATGAGGGTCTGCTTTAGTTCAATGACAGAAGGGAAAGAGCAGCAAGGAAGTATATGAGAAATATGTTAACAAACATTAGAAAGTGAGAAGGGGAAAAAGGCAGGGAAGTAATACTAAAGAGTAAAATCGATGATGTTCTCTATATCCCATTCATCTTCATTCTCATTAAAGGGAATTTGAAAGCTTGATGGCAAAGAAGCACATTTTATCCAATTTTATATTGAATATTACATAATTATGTTTCTAAGAATAAGTGTCAACACTTCCATAAAAATATCGATTCATGAGGAACACAGTTCAGATATTTCTTTACTCCAAATGTTATTAAAAGAAGAATGTAAAAAATGAGTTTAGAATTTGTAGTATGTCTGTGACATGAAAATGAATTTAAACTTAGAGTTCTTTTTTAATGAGGAAATTATTCTGATGGTTTTTGTAGATGCAATTCATAAAGATTGAAGCAATTACCCAAATTAATGTTCGTGATATCAAAACAGAGTCAAACCTAAAATAAATGTGTTCTATGGCAGGATGAATCCTTAAAGCAACTGCAGGTAGTTCATCAACCATGGATCTTGCCAAGTGACACAGAAAGCGAAGGAGTGGAAGCAGAACAAGAGAAACGTGAGTAGACACTATTATTCATTGACAAATTTCTTTCACCAGAAGTAAATCCACAATAAAGGCATTTTACTTTCATAGCAATAAACAACTTCTGTAAAAAAAAAAAAAAAAATCCAGACTATTAGGAACCCATGTAAAGACAAGCTATTCTTTAGGTCTGTGTCTTGATTCAGTAACATCTTAATTTCGGTGCAAAGACTCATAAACTAAGTTTGTAAAAAAAACAAAAAAGGAATTGTTCTTCCTGAAGACCAACATAGTCTGTCTGGTCGGAATGTGAATCTTCTATAAATAGTGTAGAGTTAGATCAGTGATAATTTGCAATTATTTTCAAAATTTCAAAGTATGTCAGGACCAGCTGATTATTATATATGAAATTATCCTCATTAAATGAATATGTTTACATATGTAAACACTGTTCTAAGTTCACAAAACAAATATTATAAGATAAGAAAAAAAGACTAATAGCTTTGGTTTAAGTTGCTGTCTTTAATAAGTATTGTGATAAATGAATCACAATACTAATGCCATGGCTCAGTGTCTGCTCTCCAGGGTTTATTGAAATTGCAAGACATATGGGCCCAGAAATCTAGCTGAGAAGTTAGTATCAAATTTTATTTATTTATTCTTACCAGTGGTAGCCCTCAGATAGGAATGACAATTGCATTTGATAATGTAGCCCTCATGATAATTGGTATAAAATGATGAATAAATAATTCTCCTGAGCCATAACCATAAGAAATACTTATATGTTACACAGGTAGCATTATAATCATGCATCTGGGGAATCCAGGAAATTATGCTTCCAGGTTAAAAGGCATTTTAAAATGTTCTATCCCACTTCCATAGCTGCAGGCTTATGTGGCCAGAGGGAGCACAGGCATGAGAGTGAGGGCTCAGGTTAGAGAAGGGGGATGGAGGCCAAGGTTCACTCAGCTGTCACATTCAGAAATAGAGTGAAAAACACAGTGGTACTTTACAGATTCTATTAAAGGAAAACAACACTCATTTCTATATAAAACAACTGAAAAAGGCACAGAAAGTAGAATGTACTTTAAGCAAGTATAAAAGCAAAGAGTATTTTGGAAGTCCCTTAATGCAAGGAATCCTAAGTAAAATGGTCTGGAAAATTCAATAGTGTGGGATACAGAAAAAAAGAATCCCCAAGTATTAAAGTATTAATAGTGGCCTAAAACTTTTATGAAAAAAATGCAAACACACTCACATCCCTCCATCTTCCCACATATTTAAATAACATAAGCACTCAATGTAGTTTGGCCGTAGTGATTTTCACCATTCTTTTGAGGCCTTCGAAAATTTCAAGTTAAAATAAACCTTCAAGCACTGTGTTTGTGTGTACTGTATAAACACAGTATAGGAAAGTGTGCTAGTTTTACTGTTAGATCCTGCAAGAGGTGCCCAACATGGGCAAAACTTATAGCATGCAGAGCATGTTAATTATATGAATGTGCTATATTTTATAATGAACTAAAACTTGGACAAGAAAAGAATTCATCAAAATAGCATACTATATCCCATTTCAAATTTAGACTTTTAAAATTTTCCTTAAATCCATATATCTCCAATCAATATTAATAGTAGAAAACATAGCCTAATCATGTAAAGGATATACAAAGCCCCAGAACTTTCTTCAGCCCTTGTCCTCTAATACATATTGCCTTTCTGCATGTATTTTTACAATGTTTTGGCAGTAAGTTTTAATTTTATTCTCTTTTACTAGGGTGCAAGTTATTTGAAAGAAAGAGTCTATCCTTTTTTTCATCTTATTGAGACACATAATAAGCCTTCAATAAATATCAGAAGAATTAGTAAATGAATGAGTAAATCAATGGATAGATTTGTTTTTTTCCAACTTGTTTATCAGGACAGTTAGAAATTAAAAAATAAAACAAAATAAATAACAATTATAACTATAAATAATTGTTATAAAAGTTATTTATACTTCTATTAAAATTTTAATATTGGATTTATAGTTTATCCATGGATTTTGCTAAATGGTTTATCAATCACTCTAAAGAAGGCCATTCTTAAACTCTTGTAACCACAGACCTAGAACCAAAAATATTTGATCTCAGCAATATTGTACTGGGAGATGACCCTTGACAATGGTAAATTGCTTGAAATAAACTCAGGGTTTAAAATAATTGGGTGATAATAGAAGCCATCTGGAGATGGAATGCTAGTTAGCATTATAGCCAAGGTCCTAGCACAGAGATGCAAATGTTTTCAACAGTGGCTTCTATCAGCCAGGTGCTAGGATAGTATAAGTTGTAGCTACTGAAGCACTGGCACCTCCACTGATACTTGCAGTCAACACATATGTGGTTTGTAGAACAGCTGGATAGATATGCGTAGATCATCTCCCTCTTTCTTAGAAAGGAAATAAATGACATAAATCTTTGCAAGCCCAGTATCTGATTTAGAGTTTACAGGCTCATATCCTAGAAACTTATGAGTGAGTAAGATGACAAGTTTATCATTTTAACAACACCTGTTTCTTGACTTAGCTTTCTATAAATTATGCCTAGGTAATTTTATGGAATTCTCTAATTTCTCTTTAGACAAAATCATCTTGGCAGAAAGTTTCCAAATAATGTCAGGGGTAGTGTGTATTTTTTATTGCATCATTTAAAAATAAGACTTAGCTCAAATAAATTTTTCTAAATGAACACCTTTAGAGAAGATATTGTGAACAATTAAATAGGGAGATTTATAAACTTTTTTATAAGCAAGATAAGCAAAACCCTTGATTAAATAGATTTTTTTCTTTACTCTGCTTTTAATTAAAAAGTATAAATTCAAGTGTGAAAAAAGTTGTGTCAGGGTGTGTTTGTTTCTAATCTCTCAGGTTATGGCCTGATGTTACTAAACAAATCAAATTCCAAATACTTGAATCGATTGGGGTACTTGCTTAATATTCATATTCTGGGACTCTACTTTAGATCCTACTGAATCAGCATCTCTGTGATTGGGACTCTGAATTCTGTATTTTTCATACTTTGTCTGTTAATATTTGCTTATTCTAAAAGTTGAGAACTAGAAGAAAATTTTCAGTGAATCAGAGGGTTATGTTTTTCTAATTGGCTTCATAGTATTGTTAAACTTTGAGTCTTCTTATTCTAGGCTTCTTTCCTCATCTATAACTTAAGTTTGAGTATGAAACAGGAGGTTGGAGAAAAAGGAAGGCTGAAATTTGAAGGACTATACATGGAGAAGACACAAAAGACAGTGCATTAGTTTGTTTTCACACTGCTATAAAGAACTACCTGAGACTGGGTAATTACAAAGAAGTCTAATTGACTCACAGTTCTCCATGTCTGGGGAGACCTCAGGAAACTTACAGTCATGGCAGAAGGAGAGCAAGTGCTTTCTTCTTAAGGTGGTAGGAGAGAAAGAGAGAGCAATGAAAGTCACACATTTTAAACCATCAGATCTCATGAGGACTCACTATCGCTAGAACAAGGGGGATATCTGCCCCCATGATCTAGTTACCTCCCACCAGACCCCTTTCCTGACACATGGGGATTACAATTTGACATGAGATTTGGGTGGGGACACTGAGGCAAACAATATCAGACTGGTCCTCCAGACTGTGGGGTCAATGCTTACAAAATCAAGACATAAAACATCTAGAATCAATTTAGCCAGTACTCTCTAATTACATTTTAGATTTTTGAAAACACAAATAAACAAACTAAAAACACACAAGCCAACAAACAAGAAATCAAAACATGCCAAACCAACAAAACAATACATGTGTCAAATAAATAATAGCCACAGTGACAGATGAAAGCTAATGCTGTCATAAAATATTAAAACTCCCCACCTGGGTTTGGGTCCTAGATTCTTGATGCCTTATGTCTGTAACAGTAGGTGATTTGGCCCTGGGTCTCCTTAAGGCAGGGAGATTGAGATGATGACACTGTATAGAGCCTGTCACCTGCAAGGGCTGCCTTAGGTATAAAAAGGGAAACAAAATACCTGTACTCTCCAGCTGTGGAACAAGCCATGAAATTTGCTATGGCTCCTAGACTTTGAATGAAAAATATAAAGTTATGCATAGGGAATCAAACTCTCAGCTCTGTACTTCAGTTACGGGGTTCAAACTTACACTACCTGTATTGTTAGAGAAACTAAATAATAATAATTGGCCAGCTTCATTAAAATTCACAGGGTCCTCTCATATGGAAATGCAAGAACTGGGGCATTTAGAACTCTCAAAGATTTAAATATCAACTCCTGCTGGAGATGAGCTGTCAATCAAATTACAAACTTCATGGAAAGTTGCAGCAAAACAACAAAGTCAGCAAATGCTAGAAACTCTAAAACTAGCATGATCAGAATGGAAAGAAGTAAGACAATCAGGAAGGGATTATATTAAAAGTATGCTTAAGATACTTAAAGATATAAAGAAAAGAAAAAGCAATCATACTGAAAGAATTCTACAGTAACGAAAAAGACAAAGATATTTAAAAGATTATCAAGAACTTCTCTAAGTAAAAAAAAACAGTTACTGAAATTTAAAGCTTAATGTTTTAAATATCTTGTTAAAAAATTCTGAAGATAGAATCAGATGAATGAAAAATGGAAGGTTAGCAAGAAAGCAATAAAGAGATGGGAAATTCAAATTTCAGGTTAGGTGGCATGTGATGTGTGTGTGTGGGTGTGTGTGTATATATGTATTTATGCATTTATAAAAATACATACATGTCCTTACATATACACATATAGATACAGCTTTAAATATATATGTGTATATATATACATATACAAACATACATATACATTATAAGCTGTATATACTACAATCTCTAGAAGAGAAAATAGAAGAAAGTCAATGGTGAAAGATTCAGTGACTGGAAACTTTCCAGAATAATGGAAAGTTTTAATTCTCAAATTGGAATGCATGACAAACACTATTTATTTTGATATTCACATTGTAAAATACAGAGTATCACAAAGAAAGAAAATCTAAAAAA